TTAAAGTAGCTGAATGCAAAGGACAAGTGTATGCAAACATCTACACTCATATGAAAGTCATAGGAAACTAAAATACATATATTAAACTTATAATATATCTGTCCATCCATTCATTTTCCAAACTGTTTGTACTGATTCGGGTTGTGGGGATGCTGGAGGCTCTCCCAGCATCTCTGACCATAGTAGACAGGGAAACGCCCAGTCCATTGTGGAAGATAAAATAAATCGAATACATAAAATAAAATACCATTATAGCTTCTAGCAGCAATTATGGGACAAGCACACTGTTGAGTGGATTTGTTGGACCATTCACCGAAGTGAATTAAGGAAAAGAAGTCCGAAAGCTGTGATTAGATTTACTATTATTGGCAGTTTGATAACATAACCAGTAGGTGGCGCAGTGACCAATGGTTTTCTCAGATCAGATCAATTATAGGTATGTGCCATTAATAATAAATTCCGTGTCAATATGTAGAAGTGTTTCCAAGATAATGGCTGATTTCCTATTTGGCATCTTCATTAATAACTTTGTGGGAATTAATATCAAAAATAAATGAATAAATAAAATTCTGTAAACCGAATCTGGAAAAGCCAGTGGCTATAGTAATACAGACATGGAGCTTTAGGCAAAATTATTACAAAGTTATAACCATTTTTTTTGTCCTTTTTTATGATGCTTTGGCCAGTAGGTGGCACTGGTACTGAACATCTACTACAGTAATGTGGCAAGGATACCCAGCAAGTTGCGCCATAATAGTCTACTTCCTGATTGATGTCCTCAGAGCATATGTAATCGTGGCATGGGCCCAAGATGATCTGACCCAAAATTTGGATTGATGAAAGTTCTGAAAAAAAAGTAAATATGTTTTTGAAAGAAGACTTGCATTATTCAAGGCTTAACTTATTTGATCAAAAATACAGTAAACGCACTGTGTCATGTTATTACAATAATAAAAAAAAAATCTATTTAAATATATTTTAAAATGTCATTTATTCCTTTGAGGAAAAGCTGAATTGTCAGGACCCTTTACTACAGTCTTCAGTGCCATTCTGATAGTTTATAATTTTAATAATTATAAATATTATTTTAATTACATTTTACATTTTAATAATTTAATTTCAAATCATTTGGTGCTTAAAAACATTTCTTGGTTTTCTTATTATAATCAGTGTTGAAAACAGTTGTTTGCTTCTTAATTTTATTTATTTATTTTGTGGAAACCATGATACACTACAATTCAAAGTTTGGGATAATGCATCATTTTATTTATTTATTTTTAAATTATCATTTTATTAAGCAATGACACATTTAATTGATCAAAAGTGACTGCAAATTCATAATGTTACAAAAGATTTCTTTCAAATAAATGTTTTTTTGTTTTTTTTCTATTCTTCAAAGATATTCGACACAAATATTAAGCATGGCTTGATGATTCCAAACGATTGACCAGTAGTGTGTACAATACAACAGATTACAAAAGTTACAAATTATAATATATCCCACAGATATTATACAAAATATAATATCTGCTATGACTTTGCCACAAAGAAATCAATATAAATAGTTAATGGTTACTAAAAATGGATTCGTAGACATTTTGTGTCACATGTTCAGAATAAATATTTGGAGTGGGACGCTCTTGCCAACATAATGTAATTTTGCCAACATAATAGAAACAAAGTTTAATTGAAATATTTTATTTTATTCAGCAAATTCATTAGCTTTCATCCTCCTGCTGTAAGATATAGTTCCTGGCAAGGTTAATCGACTTTACACAGTGATACACAAATAAACAGCAATTTGCATCATAACTGTAAATAACATATTTTGGCATGGCTAGAACTCTTTTATTGACCAATGAGCACCGGAACTTTCCATTTTATAAACAGTAAATATAGAAGGATGGAGACAAATGCAGTTTGACTTCGACTGAGTGAGAGTCCATTAACACTACTAATGTATGGACATTTAGATTACTATAGTTAACTCAGCACTTGAGGTCATGCTGTTCCCATGACAACCCCACTATCTACTGTGAATAGATGCTCATCAGTTTAGTGATGAGTGTGTTTGTGTGTGATGGATGCTTGTCTACAAATTCCAGTGTCCAATAAGCAGCTTCATTTGCTTCTGTGCAAATTAAATATTGATTATGATGATGTCCACATTTATGCCTCGCTTAAGATTTTATTTTATTGTGGATAAACGATGTTGGTTTGAACTCACCCTCAAGCCATCCTAGGTGTATATGACTTTCTTCTATCAGACGAATACAATCGGAGTTATATTAAAAAATGTCCTGGCTCTTCCAAGCTTTATAATGGCAGTGAATGGCTGTTGAGATTTTGAAGTCCAATAAAGTGCATCCATCCATCATAAAAAGTGCTCCACACGGCTCCGGGGGGTTAATAAAGGCCTTCTGAAGCAAATCGATGCGTTTGTGTAAGAAAAATATCCATATTTACAACTTTATAAACCGTAATCTCTAGCTTCCGCCAACTGTCCTACGCATGTCCACGAGAGAGTGGCTTTTTATGATGGATGGATGCACTTTATTGGACTTTATTATAAAGCTTGGAAGAGCCGGGACATTTTTTAATATAACTCTGATTGTCTTCGTCTGAAAGAAGAAAGTCATATACATCTAGGATGGCTTGAGGGTGAGTAAATTTTGGGGTAATTTTCATTTTTGGGTGAACTATCCCTTTAAGCTCAAAGGTGAAGTGTATCATTTCTGCGCCACTAATGTCAGCAAACGGAACTGCAGAAATAATGAAGGTTTTAGGTCATATGTGAAAATGATTGTAAACTTGAAATACTTGCATGATCGTGCATGGAGAAACAGCTCTTCGTTTTAAATTAATATGGTACAGATATATATATTTTTTTTTTTTGCATATTTGTATATTCATGCATGTTAAAGGGTTAGTTCACCCAAAAATGAAAATTAGCCCATAAATTACTTACCCTCAAGTCATCCTAGGTGTATATGACTTTCTTCTTTCAGACGAATCCAGTCGGAGTTATATTAAAATTGTCTTTGATCTTTC